ATTATATAATTATTTAATCAAATAAAAAAAAAATATTATATTGAAATCTCTAGATTGAATTTAATAAAACAATAAAGAAAGCTTTTCTTTTATTACATTCTATTTAATCAAATTTTTGAAAAAAAGTAGTTATTCACTCCAAAGCACCGAAATGAATAATTTATTAAATATAAGAGTAATCAAATCCAATCCCAAAAACAAATATAATAATAATTATAAATTAATAAAAATTAAAAAGCTATTATTAAATAATCTCCCCTTTTTCACAAATTATCCCGAATTCTAATATATACAGAAAACAATATATCAATTCCACTATTATATTAATAATATCACAAATACAATAATAAATAATAATCTTATTACAACTTTAATTAAAAATATTAGAATTGGATTAATACATTTTAATTAATTTTTTCACTTTTTTTATCAAAAAAGTAATTTTATTTCTATAATTAACGAAATATTAAAGATTAGATTAATTAATTAATTCTCGAATAATTTCAAGATAAACCAATTTATTTTGTTTAATAAATAATTCTTTTATCCCTAAAGGTAAGATAATAAATAACTAAATAAATTGAATATGAATTTATTAAATAAATTATTTAACTTATATTATATAAAAGTAATACTTACTCATAGTAATAATAAAATAATATTTATCCATAATAATATAATTCAATTTCTATTAAAAAACTAATTTTTATACATATTTCAAAAAGCTATCATTACAAACTACTTTAATTAAAATAATTATTAATAAAGGAGTTTCCCTATACTCCACTAATTATATAACTAAGAAAATATCAATTATATTAAAATATTTAATTATATTAATTTATAAAGTTATTATAAAAATAATTATAATAATAATATTAATATTTATAAAACTAACATTAAGCATAAAAATTAAAATCTTACCAAAACCGATTTCTAAAATTAAAATAACTTATTTATAAAAAATAATTCCAAAAATAATTAATACCTTATAATATTAATTAAATTAACAAAATTGAAAAATAATAAAGCAAAATAATCTTTAAGTAATATTAAGTAAATTCTTTTTTGAATATTCTTGCCTTTAATAAAATCGATTATATTTTATTATTTAAAGAATTAAAATATTTAATAAACTCAAAAGTCACTTTTCTTATAAAATATAATTAAATCGAAAAAAGGAATATTAATTAGTAAAAGTCTGAAAGCCTTAATATAACAAAATATTCATAATGAGATTGATTATTCCAGTATAAGCTACATTAAAGATTTGAAAGCTATAATTGCTAAATTCAATTAATACCCTTAAATCAGATTTATTTTCAATAAATTTACTAGAAATATAATTCAGATTAAAGTTAGCTTATTCTTTTATAATAAACTTCTTTTTTATAATAAAAATAGCAAATTATCACTAATTGAAAATATATAATATCAAAATCTAAGCATATTTACATACTTTCCATAAGCAAATCAAAATAATTCTATCTATTTATATAATTTCTTGAAAATTAGATCAAAGATATAGTAATATTAAAACAATTAGATTTTCTTATTAAAAAAAGATTTATTAAAAAGGAATAATATATATAATATAAATAAATAATAAATTCCTAATAATTTTCAGAAAAAATCAAATATTATTTTTATATATACCAAATTGTTATTATTCTTTATAATATTGGATATAGATTATTACCAACTTTTCCTAAATATAAATATATTATTATCATTCTATATTCCATTATATAATAGAAAGTAATTTGAACTCTTGCAAAAATGAATTAAAAGTAATATAACAAAGAATTAAGAATTATTTTAAGAATTCCTAAACTTATACTTTATATATCTTTATAGCTTTTAAATATAAAATTAACCCTCCCTTTTAATTAATTTTAAAGAAAATAATATATAATTTAATATTTATTTTGATATATCAAAAAAGCCTTAGATTTATTTCTTTTAAAAATTCCGAATTATATGAATAAAAAAACCAAAAATCCCCAAAATCCCCAAAATCCAGATTATTCTTCATCCATTACAAAATTATTGAAATTAAATCTTATATATTAAATAACAATTTATTATATAAAAGAGAATAAGCTTATTGAAATTCCGAAAATACTACATTCGAAATCTATTCCATAAATATTTCTACCCCACAATATCCTATAATCTATTGATTCAAAGATCATTAAGCTTAATATTTAGTAATAAAAACCTTACTCATTTTAAATAAATATAAATACTATTAAAAAATATAATTAAAAGGAATCTCAGCTAATTATTAAAAGAATTTCTTACAAAACATAATAAAAAGAATAGAAAATTGATTTTTATTTTTTTATTCTTAAAAACAAATAAAATCAAAAAGAATCAATTACGCTATTTATATAAAAATTAATAAATAATTATTAAAATTTCCTAGCTCTTCCCACAATTCTTGCCTATAAATTATACGATTTTTTATAGTACAAAAACTCAAAACAAATGATTTAAATAGTATATTATTAATCGAATAATAAATCAAAGTCAAATATAATTATCGAATAATATACTTCAAAGTTAATTCAGATTCTTTTAGATCTTTAATATTCAAGGTTTCCATAATTATATTTATCACACAAATTTAGATTAAGATTGATTTAATAATATTATATAGTAATAATTAATTCGATTCTATAACAATAAAAAAGCTATCCTTCGAATATACTATTTAATAATAATATATTAAAAATTGTTTTCTGATTAAGAAGTATTTAATTAATATTGAAATATTTTTGTAATATCAAAATCTGTTTGTTTTATTATTTATTTCTAAATAAAATTTATTAAGAATATTAGCTTATTATTGAATTATTTTATAATCAAAGGATATATCAGAGTATAATTAATAGATCTCTCGCATTATAACCTTAGTAATATTGAGAATATAAATGAGGGGAGAGTTATCTGTTTCCAGACAGTTCCCCTTTAAATCCTTTTTCAATAATAATTTATACAAAGCTCAAATCTCCTTATCTTTTAAATAAATTAAATAAAAAAGGAATTTAGTAATATTATATAATCAGAATATTCTTTTAAAACAAAATTTCTTAATATCCTAAATTATATTAATTATTATAAAAAAATCCTTTTGAATATTTAATATATTTTATTCAATTTTATTAAATAAATTCTTCTTCAATAACATTAATAAAATCTTATTATCATTTTTATTATAAAACTCACCCCTTTCCATAATTCAAAAATAAATCTAATACTCTTTAACAATAAAAAAACTTTATAACAAATATTCCTGCTATAATAGAATCACCTTATACTTACTCACTTTTTAATTATAAATAGCCATATATCAATATATTCATAAAAAATAAATTATCAAAAAAAAATCAGTATTGTATAACAAACATCGAAATTTAAAAAAGACTTTGAAATATTCTAATAGAATTATTCTATTCATAAACTTTTATCCATACAATTCCTGTATTATCTTCAAAATAAAAATATAAGCATAAACTAATTCAGCTTTTAATATATCGCCTATCAAATAATAGGATTTCTTTTGAAAGTGTTATATAATACTATAAGCACCTAGCATAATATATATCTAATATTACATATAGATTAATATTTAATAATCAATATTATACACAAAAATATTTGATATACTAAAAGCAAATACAATCAAATACAATTACATAAATATTATAATAAACTAAATGGAGATTAAAATAGAAATATATTTTTATAAAGACATTTTTATAAAAAAAAGAGAATGGATATGAGGTATTAGGATTATTTTCCCATATAAAAAATGTCCAAGCTTATGTTTTACCAGGTAAAACACGCCTTGCATAAGAGGTAGTGTTATATCATGTTAAATAATTTTATATATTATAATAAAAATAAGTATATTAATACAAAATATTATTATATAAAAAATCTTATAAATAAAGAATATTTAGATTTAATATAAATTTTTATAAAAAACCAATTAGTTAATGGATTAATTAAGCTATTAAATAAAATAAAATTATTAAGATTTATTGATATAATTTAAAATTTTAATAATTATTATTAAAATTAATAATATTAGTAATTTTTTTCCCTTTAAAATAAGAAGGTTTTTAATAAGATTAGTATAATATATACAAAAGAGATGATATATATTAAAGAGAACTATTGTTTTAATAAAAATAATATAATATATATATATCTTTTAAAAGCATTCAATCTAGTATAAGTGTATTATATAATCAAATCACATAATCGTCGATTTTAAGCTTCCGAAAACAGTTATAAATCCGAAAATAGTTATAAATCCGAAAACAGACTACGAAATAAAGAATAAGAAAAAGAGCTTTATTTCGAAAGAATGGTCGGATTAGAAAGAGATCTACAAAAGATTAACGAAAGCGGAAAGGCTAGATTAGTAGGAAAAAGCATAAAATAAGACCTTTTCCTCATTGAATATAAAATAAGAAATTGAATATCGATATACAGATTCTTTAATAATACCACGTGTTACACTACTTATATAATCCATTTTAGTTGTTAAACCGAGCTAGCTTCCATATAATACTACTAGTCTATAACCTACGATAATGTTAACTGTATAGAATTTGTTGTCTAAAGCTTGAATCTAATTACGAAATGCAAGTGATATATACATTGCGCTAGTGCAGGTATTATAACTTTTCAACAGGTATGATTGTTCGAGTACTCTTCTATTTTATTCCATTTGTTAAGATAACGAATATTTCTTAGCTGTTCTAGTCAAAAGATGATTGAATCATAAAATGATGATCGAACAACTTCAAAATTACATTTGATCAGCATTCAAACAAGATCCAATTTTCGTATATATGTATGTGTGAGTGCTTGTACAATTACTTATCTATTTTCTCCCCAGGATCATTCTATCTAAGCTTCTATTATTACACCTCGATAATATCACTACATTAGATTTACAGATCACCCAGGAAACATCCATCGATATGTGTCGACACTCAGCCATCATCCACACTTGCGATTGTGAACCGAAAACCACATTTCGCAAGTGTGCATATCAACTCAAAGCCGAATCCAAGAGCAAGAAAAAGGGCTTCAAGCCCCTTGAATGCCCAAACTACTTCCGAGAACCCAGCGTCCAAGTGGACGCAAAGTGCTGCAATTGCCTGGCATTCGATTTAGTCATCGAACAATCTTTCGCACCCAAACAACCTTTGGCTTACCACAGACGTCGTATCTCCTTGGACAAGAAAGGTAACGAAAAGCTCCGCTCAAGCAGTTCGGGCGCTCAGCCATCACGCGCAGCCACTCTCCAACCCCAACCCCAATCACATCAAACCCCCCCACCTTCACAGCCGGCCCGAGCAAGCACATCGAAGGGCGTCAGCCGCAAGATCGGAGACAAGGTGAAGAATTTGATGAAGAAGTTTGAAAAATGAGCTTAGGGGGAAGGTTTGAGGAGGTGAGATGAGAGAAGGAAAAGAGAGGAAAAAAGAAAGAAAAGACAGCTGAGCTCATCTCGCTAATCACACTCCTTTATCATTTCATTTGTCAAGGTACAAAGCTTTCTTACTTCTATCCTTTTCCTGAGGCTCGTCATGTAAATTCCTTTGTTTCTTTTGTCTTCTTTTGAATAGGTATTACAAATTTCCTTGCTCGATCTATCCCTTTGTCAACAACAAAACCTCCCAAAATTCAAATCCTTTTTTGTAAATAAATAACCTTATATCCACGGCTCCAACGTGACTTCAATTATAACAAGTAGATTAAAATATATTCACAAGGTGGATTTATTACCTATTAGTCTCTGTAACTATTCTTATATATGACTAACCCCTCTTCCACATATGAATTAAAAAGGCATAGCTTCAATTTAATAAATGTTATTATTTCTACATACAATATACGTTAGTGTAGATAATAGTATTTCCTGTAATCCTTATACGAGCTAGATAGTGGTATGTATTGATTTTTCTTCGAAATATATATATATATAATATGGAATTCAATATTACTAAAGATATTCAATATCATTCTAATATTGAATATTATTAATAAGATATGGGAATATGAATCTCTAATTGATATAGAATAAACCAAAATATATGAATTTGAGATTATCCCTAGATTTCAATAATATCAAATTATATATTTAATTGCATTATTATTAATTAATAATAAATCATCAATATTATTGAATATTTTAATTTTTTTGATATTTTTAAATATAAATATTAATATCAGAACATTAATTTTATAAATTTGATTGTTTTAAGAAATCTAAAAATAATTAATAAAATAATAATTTTATTGAATCTCTTATTATTTGATGAAATAGAATCCCTAAATAAATTTTTTTTTTCTACTCTATTCTATTTTACTTTCAATTCTTTAAAATATTTTTTATTCATATATCTAATATTCTAAGTTTTATTAATTCTATTCTTTATAAAAATAACTCTCAATCTAATTAATATCTATCTTTCTACAATTCTTCTATTTTAATTAAATCTATTAAATCTTTACAAAATAATACTTTTAATCTCGATTCTTTAATTCCTTTATCATTTATATTAATATCTATATTAGTATTTATATTATTATTCAATATTAAGAATTCTGATATATCTATGAATTCTATAATATTAATAATTTATTATTAATAAATATAGGTTTAGAAATATATATTAAATGAAAATCCTTAAATAATATATTTTATTAAAAAGAGTAAAGTAGAATAAAGGTGTAATTATTATAAAATTAGATATTTTGAAATTAATGATATTCGAATTATATTAATATATTTTCGAAATATATATCAAATAATTAATACTTCAATTCAAAAAAAGTGTTTTCAATATATATAAATTATTATTAAATAAACTTTTATTAATATATATAAAACTATCTCTTTTAAATATAAAAAAATAATTAATAAAAAAAAGGATTTTAGTTATTTGCTTGAATTTTATATTATTAATTCTTAAACTTTTAAGATTCTTATAATTCGATTTTTTATTTAATATTCTTTATTATTAAATCCCTTTGAATATAATAAATTTTGAATTCTTTCTATTTATTTCAATAAATAATCGAATATCTGGATTTCTAGTTTTTATTATATTATTTCAGAATAAATTATTTATAGTTTCAATAAAAACAAGCTTAGAATGAAACAAAAAATGTATTCCTTTTATAGTAAAATTTATATTATTTATAATATCTAAATTTTCTTTAATGGGTATAACGTAATTTATCAGCATGTGGGCTATATCAGTATGTGGGCCACTTTCACTTCAATTTACACTTTTCTTTTTCAACATACATTTTATTAAGAATCTATAATGGATTTGAATAATCAAGAAGTCTATATATTCTTTATTATTGAAACTATTCAAAAAAATAAAAAACTAAGTATTTGAAAAATTGTTAAGATGTATAATATTCTGTATATAATATTATAATATAGAATTGATAGTTTTATTCTTTGTATAAAATATTGATATAAATTTTATAATCTTTTGAAATTAAAAGAGAATATTATTATCGATTATATATTTAATATAGATTTAAGAGGATTTTTATCTAAAATTAAAAATATAGAAGATATAGTAAATTATATTCTTAAATCGAAGGATACAAAATGTATTAAAAAGCTTTGGATGTATTAATTTATAAAATATCAAATCAAATTAAAAATATATTTTAATTATATTTATGATTTTCAAAGAGCTTTTTATAAAATTCTAAGCTTATTAAAAACTAGTTTTAATTAATTATGAATATATAAGCGAAATATAGTATTCTCAATTACAATTTTTATAATTTTGATGAAATAGGTTTTATAATGGGGATTATAAATACTATAATAATTATAATTAATATAGAATAATATAGTAAAAGCAAAGTAATATAATTAGACAATTGAGAATGAATTATAATAATAATATATAAAAATAGAAAGAATAAAATTATTCCTTTATTTCTAGTAATTCAAGAATAAATTTATTTTTTTAATTAATATATCAAAATCGATTTCCTATAGAATAGACTATTAAATTTATATTTAATAAATAAACAAATAATAAAACAAATTTAGAATAATTGAAATATTTTGATAAATATATTAAAAATTGAAAAAAAGCAAATATCAAATATTAATATTAAATAAATATAAAAGTTACAAATTAATATTATTTTAGAATTATTATAATAAAAATAATATTAATATATACATTTATTATTTATTTAAGTTATTTAATTTAATTATTTAATATAAAGTGTTTAATAATCTGAATATTGATATAATGATTAAATTAATGTATTTATTAGGTATATATTAATCATATTTCAAAATTAATTCTTTATAGTTTTAAAATTATATATAAAGAATTAATTACTTTTTAGAATTAAAAACAAAATTTCAAAAAACAGATTTATCTTATTTAATTCTAAAAGTATATTCTTGAAATTAAATATTAAATTTATATATTTATTCTCTTCTTTTTTAATCTAAATTAATAAATCTCTCAAATTTCTTACAATTCAATTAAAGCTTTTTTTTAATTAATATTAATTAAATCTCAAATAAATTATTATCAATTAAGTTTCTTTATATTTTTATTTAAGATTATATTAGTTTTAGTTAAGGGTATAAAGAAATTAGCTTATAAAAATATACTTTTGAATATAAAGATTTATTATTTCGAAAAGTAAATAAGATATTAAGTAAATATTGATATGCAAAAAAAACTTAATTATATTAAGAAGGAATATTTACTAACAAAAAAATTCTTAATATATTATTTCAATAAAAAATCGATATTTAAATTCAATATAATAAGTATTAAAATAAAAGGAATCCTAATAGAAAAATATTTTTTAATAGATATTATAATAAATATGAAAAACCAGATTATAATTCAAGAATTTATTAAAATAATATAATAGATTCTAGATTATTGAATTCTTAATAGTTTTAATCAATTGGTATAATAGTTATTGAATAATCTGTATTTGAAAGTGTAAATTAAGGTGAAATTGGTTTACATGCTGATATAGCTCACATGCTGATAAATTACGTTAATGTTTTTAGTATTAAGACTTAGTTCATTAATAAAATAAATAAATTGTGAATTACTATTTTTATATTAAAAGAAATTAAAGGTTATTATATTAATAAAAATCTTATAAAAATCTTATATAATGAGATTAATAAATAAAGAATTATAAATAAATTAGAATATTAATAATGGATAATATATCAAATAATAATATTCTATATATTTATTTTTCAAATTATAAATTTTTCCTTTTTATTCTTTTTTTTGATTTTATTAATATTTTGAATATTTTTTAAATCTTATTAATAACAATATTAAATGGAATATATATAAAATTGAATTTGATATAATATATAATATTAATTCTTTTTGTAAAAACGTTTTTATTCGAAGATTCTATATCTAAAGATTAAACTTTTAATTCAGATTATAATCTTAAGATTTTTGTATATAATATTGATTTGATTTCAAAACTTAATTACAAATATTAGAAAAAGAGAGGTATAATAATATAACTACTATAATTTTTTTTTAAAATTAGTAATTCCTCTTATTTATTATTAATAATAGAATAGATTAGTAAAAAAAAAATTTATAAAAAATAATTTAATTTAATGAAATTCTATTAATAAACTTTTTTCAATATTTCTTATATTTCAGATATATTATATATATATAAAATAATGGATTCGATATTCAAATGAATTCTTTTTAGAGCTTGAATTGACAAATAATGATTTTGATCAATTATGAGATATTTATTACTTTTTAGATATTTTAAAAGATGTAATAGAGTTTATAAAGAATAATAATATTATTTTTGAGAAAGTCTTTCTTATAATAGAGTTTTTGCTATAATATTTTGAAAATAAAAAGATATAATTTATATTCTTTATTTTATATCTTTTTATTCTATACCTTTTTATTTTATATTTCTTTATTTGTTTATTCTATTTATATCTAATTTTATTTCAGTTATTTATACAAGTAATCCATTTTTAAATCCCTATATTAATAATGAGTGGGCAAAACTTGAAAAGTATTATTCTTTTATTAATAGATTATTATATTATATTACTATTATTGTATTAAATTCTGTACAAAAATGATTATATTTTGAAAAATCTTGGAAGGAATCTTATTCATTATAAATCGGAAAATAAAAGAATAATATTAAGACATTTTGAAAAAAATTAATATAAATTAAATTTCGAAAATTCATTTTAATTAATATTTAAAGAAACTTTCTTTAATATATTAATTATATATTTATAAACTAAAAAGAGATTTTATTATATAATAAATGAATATACAAAATATTTTGTTATTCCCCCTTTTAAATGTATTTAAAATCCTTATAAATAATAACTTAATTTTATATAATAATAAGTATATCTTAATTTAAGCAAAATAGTATTTGATTTATTTAGTATTTTTAGTATATCTATTTCTATCGAATATTTATTTTCTTTAGTAAAGATTATTATTATTATAAGATAAAATAAGTTTCAAATTATAATTATTAAAAGAATAAAATACTTAAAATTATAATTAAATTTAGATTTATAGATAAAAGATAATATAGAATTTGAGAATTTGAATAAATAAAAGATAGGATTTACTTTTTTGAATAATATTTTTTCATTATTTAACCTTTATTGGGATTGATTTTGATTTTTAGTATTATCTTTTATATATTTTTAGATTTTTATATTTCAGTTTTCTTATATATCTTTATAGATATTAGTTTTGAATAATACCTATAACAATAAGTTTTCAACTATTTAATATACATTAACTACCATATTAAAAGCTTTATACACATTACCATTTTACTGTAATATACTATTGCCTACACTGATACACGTGGCCTATCCCTCCTAGCCATTTGCAATCACCCGGTTCTCAATTTCCAGTCAAACAATCCGAGCACGCTAATGTTCTTTAATACACCACATAAATCACTAATGATTCAAAACTAATAAACATTATCATTGAGATAAGAATTCGTTTTATTTTGTTGTTTCACCGCAACTTTGCAAGGCTTTTCCTAAAGGATGATTAATATATTGAGACCAACAAACTTTCTTTCCATGTCTGGTTCGCTTTGGAATCGCGGTTTGAGTGGCGATGAGTTATGCCTTTGTATGGATTATGTGGCTAGCAGTAAGATACCAATTATCTTCATTTCAGCTACTATCCGAATCATATCCTTGATCTTACAGGCATGACTTCAAAACTTTCCCAGAACTCCCTAGAGTCATAACACCTTCCCAAGACATCCATTGACCTTGGTAAAGCTTTGACATCATGTTCCTTCATCAGCTCACCAATCCATTTTATTTGCCTACCCTCCATCTTTCCGTCTCCATTTTCCGCATCTAATTCGCCTGCATAACCCAAGATTAATGACCACCAATCATAGACCATCAAATCAGTCAATATCTGATGATGAGGTTAGTGAAGAACCATTTAGTATCACGACAGACTCACGAATCTTTGGCCTCTCGCCTTTTCCCAATTTCCAATCACTCCTACCACCCCTCTCGACACATCAAGTCCATGTACCATATGCAAACTTTTTTTACTGCCCAACATCTCTTTTGAACCAGCTACTCGCTCGATCCAATGCTTTGGATTTCGCTCACCGCCCCATAATCCACTCAAATTCAGGACACATCCACCTAATCCGAGAAGTTCATCCTCAGCGACAGCCCGATCATCAGCACTATCATAAGATGAATGACGCGTGACCCATGTACTTTGACCTGGGATGGTGAAAATTCCTGTACTCCCCAATTGAATAAATTGAAATGAAGTCAATGACCCATGATTTTCGATAGATTCCAAAGAGTGTGTATCTTGATAAAATTTCACAAGAGATTTCGATTGCCCCTTTCCTTTCAGAGGGAATGTAATCAATATGCTCTGCGCCGTTGGAAGGCTAAGCATTTGTTTTCGAGTATCAGTGTCATCTTCTGGATTGAATCGAAATTTATAAGTTCCATCACGACCTGTAGTAGTAGTAGCGGCGTATTTTATCCCTCTTTGTTGAAGAAGTGGGATGAGGAAAGTTGATGTCCATCCCGCTCCAAGAATGAGAAGTTCGACGGCTGATTTTGAGTCATCTGACTGGGGAGGTAAATTAGCTCCTCCTCCCTGAGATCGATTAGAGGAATTAGAGATAAATTATGGTATTCTACTGAACCCTCACCATGATTTAATAATTTGTGGAAGGTAATTAGTTACGAGGTAGTTAGACCCAAGGTCGTCTTTTGACGTGTTGTGTTGATGTAAAATTGTTGTAAAATTGTTGTAAAGGTTTGGGAGTTGGGTAGAGGTGGGTGTTTAGATCGGTAGGCACCTTAAATAAGTTTTGGACATTCAGGAAGTAATGACGTGATTGAAGATTATAATCGACACCTCAAAGATCATGACCTCAAAATACCGTTTCAATACTCGTACACTATGCATCTATATATCTAGTTATTGAGGACTAAATAATATTTAAGTCTCAATAACACATATATTTGATAGCAATTGATTAATTACTGTTGTTCGAAAAAGAAAAGATAGAGAAATGAAATCGCGGGAGATCCGGGTGTGAGTGTAGATATAGCAACCAACATTCAACATTTACATGGAGAGTCGGTGATGTTTCAGTCACAACAAGATATTCACATTCGGAAACGATAGTTCGACAGAGATCATAAACTTTCCGTAATCATCTCCAATTAATCATTCCCATATCCCAATAGCAATCTATGAATTGTCTCATTTTGTGAAATTCCCAATCACCACCAACCATTAAATACATATTCGCCGCCTGTGTTCGCTGCAAACTTTTCCTCATTTCCTAATCATTTACCTCTGAAAAGGAAAACGCCAGAGAGCATATGAATGATCAACCAAATAGACCAACATCTAGTCTATTGCTCTAAAGTACAAAATAACCAATGTGTGCGGCGTATCTCCAAGTGATCCCAAGGCAACAGCTCATGTAGAAATTCCAAACTTGTTGAAGATACATTCGTCACTGTAGACTAAAACATGACCTCTTTTCTTTCCAGAAATTCAAATTTACGCAATCACTTTTTTTTGATGCATCTCCAAGAATCCATTCGAATCCAATAAGCTCTGACTTGCAACATAACTAAATCCACCAAAGGGGTCATTCTCGTTCGCAGAAGTCGCGCTCCATGGTACGCCATTGTGACTAGTAACTACAGGACTCAAAGAGAGCTCCGTGAAATCTTCCGCAAAGTTCTCCGCGAGTTCTGGATCTGTTATGAATGGTTGAATTGGTGCATCAACTTCTCTCTTTGCAAGCTTCTGCCAATCTATACGACGGAAGAATCGATGTTTCTTGATAATGGCCATGTCCTTAGGCATATGAGATCCGAGTCTCTTGTTGGGTTCCTTACGAAGAAGGCGGGTCAACAAATCTTTGGCATCGGGTCCCAAAAAGTAAGGCATAGCAAGCTTTTGCTTCGTGATCCGGTCCTGAATTACTTTATTGTTTTGACCTTGGAATGGTGGACTGCCAGTCAATAAATCGAACCCAAGAGCACCAAAAGACCACCAATCCACGGCCATTCCATACTTTTGTCCAAGGATGATTTCAGGTGCCATATATTCAACAGTACCCAACAAAGAGCCGCATTTATCGTTTTCGTCCACAGCTACCTTGCTTAGTCCGAAATCGGTGAGAAGTAAATGACCTTCGGCATCCAACAAACAGTTTTCCGGTTTGAGATCGCGGTAGACAACCCCAAGATTGCGATGAAGATGCTCCAGGGCCAAAACCATCTCTGCCATGTAAAATGATGCGACTTCTTCGGAGAACATACGTTCTTGGGCAAGGTGGGTAAATAACTCTCCGCCTTGCGCGTATTCTAAAATCAAGTACAATTTTTCGTGGTCCTGGAAGGCGTAAAACAATTTGACGACGAAGGGATGACGATTTACACTTTCAAGAATGCTTCTCTCCGTCCTTGTCTGCTCCACCAATCTTTTATGGACCGTCAAGGATGCCTTCTTGAATTGTTTTTGAGCGAATAATGTCCCGGTTGTACGTTGCTTGACCAAAATGACAGTCCCGAATGTTCCCTTACCTAAACATCGTAAAGGTTCAAAGTCGTCTGCAGCCATCTTTCTCGCAATAGTATCCTGAATCAATCCTCCTTCAATTGCACCGAACATGGGTTGTGCCCGCACACTTTCGCTAACGAAATCATGTTCCAAGGGTATCTCATACGTTGTGCTGTCGGATCGTTCATCATCGCTCAAGTCATCGGACGTCGTGGCCGTGCTGCTTTGCGGTTGCGATTGAGGGCGGCTGCGCACCATGGAGTTTGCTCTGGATTCATTCTCCAAGTTAAGAGTATCGAGTTGTAGCTTTAATCTGCTAATGCCACCAATTCCTGGGGATTTGAACGGTTTCAATGAAGGGCTGCAGTTTGCGCTGACAACATCACCGATCTTGGGGTTATATCGTGCTGGAGTATTGCAGCCATAATCAGAATCTTCATCGCCCGAAACGGCAGGAGTTTGGAAGCCTCGAATTGTAGTTATGGCTGGTTTCTGTTGTGCCTGCGATTGATTCATGGTGCACCACGACGACGTTCAGCGTCAGCTCGAATTTGGGAACGATAATTTCGATGTAACTTTTGGTAATTCTTGGATGGTCGCATCAGGTTCTCGCAGTGGAATGTAAAGATTTCTATATAATTTCTTTCGATATGCATTTGCTAGTGATATGACTGATTCTAGAAGCAGAACGGAATGTAATTGAATTTTCTCCCGAGGAGGTGGTGGTAGGTAGTAGTAAGAAGTCGAAAGGAGTAAGAGGAGGAAGAATGATGAAGGATCAGAAGAAAGTTTCCAAGGTTTTTGCTTAGTACTGTCTATAGTATGGAAGATCAACGCAAATTTTGGGCTGAACTGGGGAAATAACATTTTTGGGTTTTTGAATGGTGCATTATTATTAATTTGTGTGAAATGATGAAAATCGAATTGATTGATTGGTTCTTTCTTTTTCCCGAATGGGCTTTTATCTTCCGATGTTTGACTTATAGTACAAGGTTTTGCTTTGAAATGGCCTGAGCTGAAAGAATGTTATAGTCTAATAATACTAATAATAATATCTTTAAGTAGGTAAGTCAAGGTGTAAGGTGTCTGAAGTCTTACAGTAGAGTAATTATAAAGTAGTTTATTAGTATGTGAATTATTATATTATTATATAGACTACTCCTTTTTGTATACAAAATTTTTTTGTATATAACTATATACTTTTTTTATTTAATATTATAATTTTATAAAGTTTGAAAATCTGAAATTTTAATTATATAAATATTATAAAATTTGAAATATTTATTAGAAAATAGAATAATTATAATAATTGTTATAGAGATAATACTTTTATAATGAAAATTGTAACAATTTCTACTTTCTTTATAAAATATTAGAAATTTTCATAAAAATATTAGATTTATAAAAAGATTATTTTTTATTCTTTTTTTTCTTCAAAATAATGATTAATAATTAAAATAAGAATATTGAAAAAGGTTTAATTTTGGTGTATTTTCAAGCGGTTTATATACTGATATGACCTATATGCTGATAAATTACGTTACCTTGTAACTAGGTAGTAAGATACTAATAAGGTAAAGTTAACCTTACAATATCTTGAAAGAATGTAATGCCGACTTTTCTAATGCGATATAATAAATTATAATTAACTTACATTGATGCACGTAGGTATCTACTACATATCAACAAAATTCCCTTGTTCCGGAGTAATGGCCCTCTTATCATTCTATCAATTCATTAATACCATCACCATGTAGGGGAAGAGAAAATGTTGATTCACAGTCTCAGTCTCTTCTCTCTTTCTACCCTCCCTAAACTCCTGATTCTGTCCCAGTGCAGACCTTGTGCACTTGCCCCAGATGACCGGTGCGGGTCAGTGTGCCAGTCTCCAGTCTCCAGTCTTCACACGGTTGCTTCCAGGACGTATCACGAGATTCGATTGGCATTCGTTTCATTTCATATCTGCTATCCGCTGTAGGTCATGGACGCAATCACATGGAAGGCGTCGTAAAATCTTCCGACAGCAAAGGGTTCACTCTAGCCACTCCGCCTGGTCAAGAATCTTGGATCTCGCAAATGCAGAAGTATACGAAGTATCAGTCACACGTATGGCAACAGGTGGCAGAGCGATAGGAGGTGTGTAAGGTGGAGAGGTCCAAAACTCTGTCGTGTGAATAGGTCAGAGGAAATCATCCTTTACAAATCATTATTGATTCTCGTCAGCAGCGCGAACGATGCAATCGAACTACATCATCGAAATTTTAAAGCACTTTAACAAAGTGCAGAATAATAGTCGTGGAACCAATTCTGATACCAATCAATTCAATCCTCAAACTTTACCAGAGGCAAGGCACTTATTTCCCCAATTGTGTTCACTTCTTAAACGTTTTGTCCAAACCATTTTCCCATCTTTCTTCTATCAGATTTTCACAGCAGTACTGCACGAATCTCGAACTGATTGTAAAAGTTGCTTTCTACGTGGTACCTTTGGTTCAGACGTTCCTCGCTCCTTTCTCATCTTATCAACAAGCTGTCTACCTGAATATCATACGGCTGAAACCCCAGCTATTTTTAATATACACTTAAAAACCCTACTCTTCCATCTACGGTTATGTGTGCTTGTGGGAGGTTTCCTCTTCTCACTTTGCTTTGTGGCTCTACAGGGGACACTGAGTATCAAAGTGGTGTATATCATCTGAATCCTCTCTGGCCCAATAACTACGATGAAAATACAACAGGAAGTCCTGATAATAGTTTCTTCGAACCAGAGACTATCTGATTTCATAGAATTCAAGAAATGAAATTCAATGTCTTTCAACATAAGAGTATGTCGCGGAATTCATCACATTTTTTTTATTGCGAGGAGACAAGTGCTGGCTCGGGTGTTGCGAAGTGTACCTTCCTTGCCTCATGTAAAGATACCTAACCATAGGTGATTCAAGATTATATTTGAAGGGTTTTAACAATACTTAAGTGATTTTGATGAAGCGATTCCTTCGAATCAATTTCACCAGGACTGTCTAAAAATTTGAAACAGTTTCAATATTAGGAAAGATCTTAATTTACCAAAGACCCTTAGTTTCTACCCTGCAATTCAGAATGTTGATCCTTTCGGGAGCAAAGGTAACAATTACACAGGCTTGTTTGAAAGGGATAAAACATGGAGGGTTTAAGATTATATTTATTCCTGGTGCAATCTCACCACATAGTTATACATATCCTAATTGATTATGCTAGATAACCTTTTCCATCATTTATCTCACCTTGAAGCTGTAGCAATGTCTCTTTATCATGCCCTGGTATCACTCGACCTTTGGTTGTAGATTCCAACCGTTTCAATCGCTGAGTACTTTGGAACCAAGCTGGATGATCACTGTAATTTCATATTAGCTTCGTTTTTTCGTTCAGTGGTATCCAGCATTTCATACCGTGCAAGCCATCCTTGAGGTACTCCATCTCGCCACTATCATGCTGTTAATAGATTATAACATTGACCAACATAAGGAGGAATCTCACTAACATTTTCAATGACGTGACAGTGGTCACTGATAAAAAAGAATGTTCCAGTCTCCGGAAGGTTCAATTGCATTCCCACGAGACCATCTGTGTGACCAGGAAGGTGATGGAGAGTAATTCCTTGACAAAAGTCGACGGTTCTCTCATCAAATGTCTTCCAATTCAACGATAGCTTTTCGGAATCAGCATTTGATGAGACATCAATCATAGCAAGAGAGTAGCTTACATCCAAATAATGTTTTAAATAGACCCCAACATCAGCACCAGTGGCAACAGACCAAAATGCCGAACGCAACTCTTTATCATGAACCCAAATCTCGACATCCTTTCTCTCTAGGAATTGATCCAATCCACCTGCATGATCCAAATGCAGGTGGCCGAGGATTCTATTTTTCGGTAAGTGTATCTTCTTAGCTCATCTGTCAAAGGCAGCCTACATTTTTTTGACATCTTCCAATTTGTGCCCTGTTGCTTCAATTGCTGCTTTCAATTCGTGTCTTGGTTCATACTTAATTCGTGCAAAAATATCGACTACTTGTGGACCCCAAACTTCAGGATAATCAACTCCACATCCTGTTTCCCAAAGTATTACACCTTCGAAAGGGTGATCAATCAATACTGCATATACTGGTAGTTCTCTTCTCTTGTTCACGAACTTCTCTCCTTCTGTAGACTTCAACGACGTGTTACCACCTCTTGTTACAAACCCCTCATCACATTCCAGCCATCCGAGCTCGAGTAAATATGCTCGCGTCCCTGGAGGACAGACATTGGAAACATGAGCAGGTACGGCGCCTGCATCGAGAGCTCGTTGTATTCCTGCCATTGTTCTATATGCGATCGGAGTTGTTGTTTGAAGAGTTGAATACTTAAATTTAATGTTATGATATTAGTATCTGATATAAATAGGATTTTTGGAGATTGAGATCTGGTGGGGAGATCTCCATGAATTCTTATACCGGTGATCGATATGATCCACTCGACCCCGCTTTATGGAACCAGTGCGACCTTGTTTTTAGCTATCACATCTTACAATGCTTAACCTGGGACGACACAATTACAAATATTAGTTAGTACATTCAGGTAAACATGTAAGCTGTGAGCTCAGGTGAGTGATGAGATGCTAGATGTGGGCTAAAAAAGAACAAAAAGAAACATTCTACTTTGAGCTATTCCAAGCTATAATTGGTACGTGGTTAAGCAAGATTCTACACACTCTCGAGACTCTCTCTCTCTATCGATGATTGATTGGATGGATCGATTCCGCACATCATAAAAACGCCCGACGCCTCAAAATGTTGAACATGGTTTAAGTAAACCGACTAATTGGACCCAACTCAAGCCAAAAGATGATTTTCGAGAGAACTTGGTAAGTACAAAATACGCCCCCACTAATTACCCCTCCTCGAATTGATCACCCCGCATATCCCGGTAATGAAGTTAAATAATCATTAAAACAAGTTTCCGAGGTATTGTGGAAAGTCGTTTATTATATTGGCTGCTCACAGGATACTGGAATTATCCATCTTCAAATCCCTTATCAAATACTCAAACATCATACAAGCATCGAAGTCTTTTATAAAAATGACTCAAGAAACGATGAAAGCCGTGGTATTCCATGGAACTCTCGATGTTCGACTCGAAGATCGACCCATCCCAAAAATCGTGGATCAGACAGATGTAATAATCAAGGTCAAGTACTCAGCATTGTGTGGAAGGTAAGTGGACCTTGCATTGTAAACTTTTGGCCAGGAAGCTTGAAATTGATCGATTTTACAGCGAACTCCACGTTTTCAGGGGACATCAAGCTTCGAAGACAGGCTTCATCATGGGTCATGAGACCGCAGGTACGATCGTTGAATTAGGAAACGATGTAAAGGCACATAAGAAAGGCGACTTGATTGTCATGCCATTCACCGTGTCTTGTGGTGAATGCTTTTATTGTATAAGAGGGTACTCGTCGCGATGCGAAAAATGTTTGTTATTCGGATGTCCTTTACTAGATGGCGGTCAAGCCGAGTATATGAGAGTGCCATTGGCAGATGCAACAGCTGTAAAAGCACCAGAGGGCATTGATGAGAAAAAGCTAGTTTTGATGGCAGATATCTTCCCTACCGGATATTTTGCCGCTAGAAATGCTTTTGATGGAATGTCGCAAGAAACCATAAGCAATAGTGTTGTGGTTTTAATCGGGTGTGGACCGGTTGGTCTCTGTGCCTTGATCAATGCTTTGGAGTATAAACCAAAGATCGTGATAGCTATTGATCGTGTGGAGAGTCGGTTGGAGTTGGCTAAAAAGTTGGGCGCAGAACCGTGGAACGATCAGACGAACAAAGAAGAATTGACGAAGCGAGTAAAAGAATTGACTGATGGAAGAGGTGCTGATTGCGTAATTGAGGGTGTCGGTCATGCGGATGCACTGAGAACTGGATTCAATCTGCTGCGGCCATGGGGAACAATCGCGAGCTTCGGTTAGTATATTTCTTGGGTTAAAAGGTCACCTTGTTAACAAACTGTGATTATAGGTGTGCAGCAAGAAGATATTCCTTGGTCAGGCATGGAGGCCTATGGCAAGAACGTGAAATCACAATTTGGACGATGTCCAGTTCGAAGTGTTTTCCCAGAAGCTATGGAGGTTCTTAAAAAGAACCAAGATAAACTTGAGTAAGTTTCTCGAATCCGATCCTGAAAACATCCTAGAGCATAGTTCTAATAAGATTCAGTTTCATGACTGATAAGATCATGCCCTTGAGTAAAGTCGTCGAAGGATATGATATCTTTAACAAAATGCAGGTGCACAAGGTAATATTTGAGCCAGGGCATTAAACTTCTTTCTACCCTTAAATTTCGTTTTGTTTTCTAAATCAATGATTACAATCAAGCGTAAAATCAGATATGTGGTGAAGATAAAGATTAAACGACGATCGAATTCATGATCAATATTAGTCACAAATGTAGTTGAAAAATCTCAGAATTTTAAGCACTCAAAGTTTATAGAACCAAAAATTTTGATTGTGGAAATGATTATGATTATTTGTTCTATATTATCATTGGTTGAGCGTGAGTAGAGTTTGAGATACACTTTTTAAGCCAACCATCGACAGTTTCCTTCAATCATCCAAGGCAAACCTATTGACGAACCTGAAAGTCTTCAATCCGGCTTCAAACTCCTTGACAAGTGCACCCACACTCGTTGAATTACTATACACACCTGGTCCAGCAGAGATTGACGCAACATTTAATGCCGTTCTCGCATTTCCCAAAATTCCCACAGGCTTTCCCCAATTGTACGCATCCAACAAGATCTGACGAGGTCGGTCTGCTGGAAAGTACGTTGATTTTGAACCGTTTGTGAACAAAGTTTCGGCACCATCAGTTACGATGATACCATCAAATAATGTCGCATCTGATGCACTATAGGTGACATCCACTCCGTTCGTAAGGAGTTCCCCTATGACTTTGACATTTACCCCGGATGTCGAAAACGATGTTGCAAGATTGGCTGCTTGTGTTAGAGTTGCATTGTTCTTAACACTCACCAAGACTCCGATGTTGAGTGTTGCTATCGTTGGGAGCTCATTGCCAAATATGGTGACGAAGGCAGTCTTGTTATCATTGTAGTAAGTGT